GCCGTAGGTAAAAGGATTAAAATCTTTATTTGCGCGTGTCGCTTCTTCAAGGGTAGGATCCGACGGTTTAAGCCCCAACGCTTGGAAACCGGACTCCATTAAAACCTGAGACGCCCTCCCTGGGGACAGCACACCGCTCCGGCCCAGCGCCCACCGCCAGGCCCTCTGCCAGCGTCGGGGGCCAGATACAAATAATAAATGAATACACACTTCACGGGGGCAGGTCCAAAAAACCTGGCCTGGCCCAAAAATCCCTTCCTGCTTGCCCCCACCTCTGCTGGGAGGCAGCTGCGCTGGGTGCCGGAAGGGAAGCAGGCACAGACCCCCCCTACCAGCACACGACACGACAGTGGCTGCTCCCCTGCGTCAGGCAAGGAGTCCTTGCCCCCTGACACAAAACAAGTCGGGCGTCAGGGACTAGTCTGCAAGAGCTCAGCCACGTCAGCTACGTGATGCTGTCTTTGGCTCTGAAAGGTGAGGCTGGGGAAGTCTTCCTTCAGCTGCCAAATAAGGCCCCCTTAACTCCAAGTGTTTCCTTCTACTCTTTGTCCCCCTCAATGAACTGCAGCTCCGATTGCACCCCAAGTCCACCAGCACTGCTGTGTAACCAGTCTGACTCCTGATGGGTAAAGCTGTCTACCATCGTCTCCACCTCCTTGCTTCTAGGAGGACCCAGCTGTAGAAGCTGTCTCCCTGTACAGCCACTGTCTCCCCTCTGAAGATATGCAGGTGGCCAGAGCGTTAAGACCACAAAAACCCACATCATCAATAACAGAGCCCAACTACACAAAGAGGGAAGCAAGTAGAGGAAATGCCATCCTTTCCCTTCTATGGCAAAGCTATTCTTAGTCTAGGACAAGACCAGCTACACAAGAAAATAAACAGGTAAGAGTCTGAGGACAATAATCTTAAATCCCATGATTTGACACTTTAAGACAGTCATTCTTCCCTCAGCCACCATCTTGTCATAACTAATGAGGGAATAAAAAAAAAACCACGACAGGGAGAGCCAATACAGGGCACTGGTCTGTGCAGAGCCTCTGCTTTCACAGGTCCGAAAAGCTCTGGCTGCTGCGTGGCCAACACAGAAGTTCAGTAACCCAAAGTAAAGCTAAATGAGCGAGAGCTCTTCCCTCCCACCAGGCGCTTGCTCTTCTGCTTAGAAGAGGTTTCAGGCTCTTGAAACTTGGCACTTCCTAAGGGCTGGTCCTTCATGAGGGTCTGGGCAAGGCGGGCTGCTCTAAGTTCCCTGCAGGGGGGAGATGGGAGGAAGAGGAGAGGAAGAAAACCAGGTCATGCATGAATCCCCCCCAGCTACAGAAGAAAGGTACAATCCTGCACAAGATGGTTGCTGCAGTATGCATTGCTGGGGAGTGGTGACTTTTAACCCCTGTAGGTTTCTTTAGCATTTCTACTTCAGAACAGATGGGCTTTGAAGGTTGACCAAAGAAAACTATGCATCAGGTCAGCAACAAACATCTAACTAGCACCAGTATGAAGAGCCCCTAGACCAGTTTTTCTCCCATTCTTTCAGATATTTGTGATGGGAGAACTTGGATCAATACCATCTTGTGCAGCACAAGTACCTAAAAGGCACATGCTTCTTTTCCACTGCCTTTTTTCCCTGCTGACTGCTGCTCTCCCAGAGCATACGCTCTCCTGTCTACATGGAAAAGTGCAATAGTCAGCTGGGGAATAGCTAAGAGGAGCGATAGGGCAGTTCCTAGATCCCAGCACCTCAAAACATTACTGCCAACAGCAGCGAGAGGGGGCAAGCAGAAAGAGGATGTCTGCCACCACCTGCTATTTCTCTTCCTTCTGTGCTAGACCCCTACCTCAGTGCAGTATCAATTCCTCCTCTGCCCACTGGATGCTTATTGTATCAGCCTTTTCCACCACCAGTGGCTGCAGCAAGCCTGCAAGTTCACTGCTCTAATTCAGCCAGCTCCTCAAAGGCAGCAGTGACCCACAGCTGCTTGGGCACTACAAGTCCCTGCTACAGCCGCATCGCCCTCCTGGCTCCAGGCACAGGAGCTGATGGGTGTTTCTGCACATTGGGTCTCCCCGCATGACCACGCTACATTCAACCCTGGTGCCCATGTGCTCTCCCCTTCGAGCCCAAGCCAGCCCTACCTTTCCAGCATGGCAGTCTTGCGCTTCTCCATGTTTAGCTGCTTCTGGAGCTGCACAGCTTTCCCATGTGAAGGGCAGAGAACTGGATGTTTAGTAAGAGCTGTGGCAGAAGGTCTTTCCACTGGGTCAGGATGGATCATGAGCTAGAAGGCAAAGGAGTCGGGGTTTAACGCTCCCTCTGTCACACACCAACTGGAAAAGCCTCCATCCTGTCGAGGCTACTTCCTCACCTTGAGAAGTTCAAGCAAGCGATGGGGAAGCTTCTGGGGCATCGTCGGTACATTGCCTTTGCGGATGTGGTGCCACATGGCCCCGTTGTGAGGCAGCGGTGCTGCGCCGGCTGCTAGAGCTGCTGTGAGTGCCAGGGCAAAGATGTCTGCCTTCGGCAAATAGCAGTATTGCTGCGGAGGGAAGGCAAGCAGTTACAGAAAGGAACATCTTGCTGTGCTGAGCAGAGGTCAGCTGGGATACCAGATCAAAAAGAAACAGCTAAGCCGCTGCGCATATAACACTGCCTTCACCATCCCAGTTAGCTGTTTTCTCCTCTTTAGGATTAAAAACACTGACAGCAAGTTGTTTTGGTAACTAATAGCACATGTTAGCTTTCACCCAGTCATGAGGAGCTTGCAGCCCGCATTAGGATCACTGCAGCAAATCCAGAGGACAGGCTAACGAACATGTGCCTCCAGCACTCACCACAGGGCAATAAGCTTGCCATGCTACTAAAGACTGCATGCAGTTTGGTGACCTAGTAGCTCCCAAGTGCACCTGCAGCACAAAAAGATACTGTTGCTTAAACACCGGAGCTGATGAGCACATCCAAGCTGGTTGTTGCATACTGATTCCCTTTTTGTTCGCTGCCTAAAGTGGCAAAACTGCAGTCAGCTTAAGAGGTGCCTTGTGCCTCCCAGCTCCCCACACCACCTGATCAGCGTTTGCTGGACAAGGCATTTGTCTGGGTGCATATATTCCTCAGTAATCACATCCAGCAGTTTAATCTCAGCTGGGTGTGTAAATACAATGTCTCCAAACTGATAAAAGTTTGTCCCATTCATCCCTCACAGGTAGAATAGTCACAATAATCTGATGGTAAAGTTACTTATGCAGTACATTAAACATTTACATGACAAAACCCAGGCCTATACTGTTGTAAATAAAGTATTAAGTTCACTGATTTCCCAGCCAGACCAGACACAAGAAAGATGAGGTAAGGCAAGGAATGTGCCAGACTAATGATTTCACTACAGCAGATCTCTCCCCACTTGCCCACCACCCACCATACCTCTTGCAAAATCTCATTGGCCAAAAACCGTCTGTCTCCTTCTTCCACCTGGGGGTTTGTTATTGATGTCACATGGCCAAGGTCACCTGAGAAAGAATAAGTAACTAATGAAGCACACTGATTTAGATCTCCTCCATCAATAAAAGCCTGCATTTTATAGGCAACAACAGAGCAATCGGGAAACACTGAGTAAGAGAGCAAGCCCGCTCCTACTCAGGCATCTGGGCTTGGGAACAAGCACAAGAGCTTTCTAGGACTTATCTTCTTAGAGGAATTACTTCTGGCAATTAGCAGAGGCATTCAGGACTATGCCATCAGTTTTGTATGCAAGTCTCTTCAGCCAGCAAGACAGAGCAACATCAAGCAGTACTGAGCAGCCCTAATCTTAAGCTAGTTGTAAAGTTGGCCAAAACCTACCAATCTTATACACCACACCGGAAGAGAATTCATCATCGCTGTCACTCTCATCCTGCCCAGCAGGGCTCTCAACTGCCAGCTTGTGACAGATGAAGATGTTACCTGCAAGACAGTGCAGTTTAGCAATAGTGTGATATCAGTAGCCAGACTGCAGCAGCCTGACAACTTTGTAGAAATCCCACCTGTCAAGCTAGTTAAGCTTTACAGCCAGAGAAATCCTGCACATCCTTCCCACCCATTAGTCTGCTTTCTGCCCAGTTTACAACTGCCTTCTGTCAGCTGTATTGCTGAACATGTATATCTCGTGCATAAGATATCCCCCCATAATCAACTTTTCTGCCCCTCCCTCTGCTCCCCAAGCTA